CTTTAAATGCAGCCACAGATTGGGGCGCCTGGGTGGCGCAGTCGGTTAAGCGTCCGACTTCAGCCAGGTCACGATCTCGCGGTCCGGGAGTTCGAGCCCCGCGTCGGGCTCTGGGCTGATGGCTCAGAGCCTGGAGCCTGTTTCCGATTCTGTGTCTCCCTCTCTCTCTGCCCCTCTCCCGTTCATGCTCTGTCTCTCTCTGTCCCAAAAATAAATAAACGTTGAAAAAAAAAAAAAATAAAATAAATAAATAAATAAATGCAGCCGCAGAGATGACCTCTCATTCTTTGCAAACTGTTCTTGCGGAAACACCTCCAGCTCAGACACAAGGGGAAGACGGTGCAAAATGAAGAACCCTCAGGAGCTCAAACCTTTTCTGGGCAGGAAGCAGGCTGAGAAAGCTGGATTCCAAACTGTTTTCTTCCAGAAAAGAATGACACAGAGGGCGAATAGAGCCCAGAGGGTAGAGCCTGACACCTTGTCAGAGTCCTAGGAGGCAGCACTGGTCCCTAAGCAAGAGAGGGGGACCCGCGCCCAGCTGGATTTCTGTGGACCAGCGACTGTGTGCCTCGCTCCCCGCTTTTCGAATGTTACTGCGTGTACATGCGCCTGCCTCACCGCTGTATGTTCGGTGTGCGATCGACAGGTAACTCGCCTGTGAGGGTGGTCAGCTCGAGGCCCCCGCACCGCTCTTGATTCAGATGATGAGATCCTGGAGCTCAAGCCTGTGTCTGATGCTGGAACAGGATGGGGCTTCCGGGATTGGGACTTTCGCGTGTGGGAGGAACAGAGAGAATTTGTGGCCAGAGACTGTGGAGGTTTTAACACCCGGCTCACACGTTCCTTGACCCTCCTCCTTTAGGATGAGGGGAAGGTATGTCCCCTTGAATCTGGGGTCTGTAACTACTTGGACAATTTCTGAGCCCATGCTCTAAGTGGGGGCTTCCCGTCTCTGGGACATAGCGGTGGGCAGAGCGATGTCCCCAAAGGGGTCCACACCCTGCTCCCGGGAAGCTACCAACAACGCTGTGTTGCACGGCAAGAGGAACACTGATGGCGGATTAAGGACTTTAAAATAGGGAGAGCACCTGGGGTTGCCCAGGTGAGCCTGGCGTGATCACACGGGCCCCCCGAAAGCGGAGGCGGAAGGCAGAAGAGCGGATCTGGGCAATATGACAATGACGAGGAGGCAGGACAGGTGCGGCTTTGAGAGGAGGAAGAGCGCCACGAGGCGAGAAATGCAGGTGCCTCTAGAAGCTGGGAACGGCCCTTGCTGACAGCCAGCTCGGCATGGGGAGCTCCGTCCTCGGACCGTGAGGAATTGAATTCTGCTGCCCGCCTGACAGCATGGGAAATGGACTCCCCCCCTGGAGCCTCCAGAAAGGACCACAGCCCTGCCAGCACCCGTGAGCCCCACCGCAGACCTCAAACTACGGAACCGCGAGATAATCCATGTCTGTCGTTTTAGCTGCTGTCTGTGGCAGCTCGTTACAGCAGCTACCGACACCTACACAAAAGCTTTGGACCTGAGCGACTCTGCAGGGAGGAAACCCAAACTGCCCACCACCCCCAGCCCCCCGGGAGAGACCCTGTGCGGAGAGAAATCAGCAGCCAGCACCACCTCGCCGGCCCAGAGGGAACCGCCTTGGAAGGGGACCACCAGCCTGCCGGCTGGGTCACCCCATGTGGGGAGGAAACAGGTTGTCCCTGCAAATTCCTGTCCAAATTTCAGACACACGAACAAGACCACGGTGGCGGTGGTTTTAAGCCTAAACGTGTCTTGTGATTTGTTACGCGGATGAGGGGAACACACGCATGTGGGGGTGAGGCCAGGAGGTGAGACGTGGCCCGGGAGTGCCAGGCCTTTTGTGCTGGCCGCGGTGACAGGGATGAAGGGATTATGAGAAGAGTCCGGATGGCCCTGATGGTGTTCAGGTGAGTGCTGGGGGATAGCGGGGGAGCAGTGGCTGAGTTGGGGGGGTCACTCCTGCCACTGGAGGTGTGTAGGCTGGGGGGCACCCAGCTCCTGAGGTCCTCTTTGACTCCTCTTTACTGTAAACATAAGGCAACGTTCTAACACTCTTTTGCGAAAGTGTGACCTAATACAACTTTTTCAAAAAGGAGCACGACTGGAGAGCGTGGGCAGAGAGAGCTCTTTGGTGGAGTTTTGCCATTGGGGCGGGGTGGGGGGCAAAGAAAACGGCCATTAAGTGGAGCGGCATGAGGGAACCCGACTTGGGAGGGGGTGTGTTCGGAGATGGGAAACATAGCAATAGATCTGTGTGCACGTGGGAAGGATGCATCTCAGGGCACGACGAATACGCCCGAAGTCAGGTTCTGAAAGGTTTGCAAAAGCTGCGGTTAACACCAAAATCCAGGCGCTCACGCTGCTTTAGAAATAAAGCAGCCATACGTCCCACTTCTGCCCAAATGGGGAAATCATGGTCCTCGGCTTGGGGGCTGAATCTGACACTCGGGTGAGGAGGGTGTGCGGCCCCCACCAACTGCTCCACCTTCCCTCGGCCCAGAACCCTGCAACGCCTGCCCCTTTGGAGTCAGTCCTCAGTGCGTGCAAAATACTCCTGCTGCTGATTCCTTTAGTTTTGATGAATCCCATGGGCCTAGAATCCACCAGACTCTTTCCCACCTCGAGGAATACTGTGCTTGAATCGGTCTTTCAAGAGAAAAATGTTTTTAAGTGGAGGCATTTATCTGGACTGGGACTGCAGAGGGCACCTAATAACTTCTGTCACCTGGCCCCAGCCTGTCCCCCCACACTAGCCCACCTGCAGACACTTTGCAACTTTCCCTAGTCCCTTCCAGTGGCTGGCTGCTGCTGAAGAGAGCTTTTACGACCAAAGAGCCCCGACACAGCCAGGGTCTTAAATCCTTTTAGTCTCTTAGAAAGACCACTGTCCCCCGAGCTGGGTCCCAGACATAGACTGGGGGGTTGGGGGGGGAGTCCCAGTCTGGTTTTTATCCTAGTGAGCGAAGTTAGATCCCTTGATCTTTCTGTTCCCTGCCGATTCGAAGGCTCCAGCTTCTGCAGAGAGATCTCTCCCCAGACGGACTGGAACAGGGGAGTTCTCGACCCGGGCCGCACGCAGGAATCGCCTGGAGAACTTGTCCTGTGGAACAGCCCTGCTCCCCAACCACACCACCACCTCTGAGCAGCGGGCCTGGGCATCCGGGGTGCAAGCAGGTAGGAGACTTGGGCTTGAGGCTTGGGATGGCCAAAGTCAGGTACAGCTTTAAGAGCACGCACCTGCCTCTACCATATCGTTGGCCGTCGGGGTGGGGACTTACAAGTGCTCATTTAGTCTTGACTCTGAAGGGTGGTGCTCCTCCCACAGGACGGCCTGATACCGTTTGTACTTATTCAGCAGTTACAGTAACAGGGACAGACCCCTAAATAACACACGTGGCAGTTATTAACAGAAACAGGGACCACACATGATCCTGTTTCAAAAAACTTATTGAAAGGTCTCTTTCCAAGTAACAGCGTAATCTTACCGTCTTCTTGGCCACAGCGTCAGCGTTTGGCTCTCTGGGTTCTGACAAACCAGCGTCCGGAAATGCACAGCCTTAGCTTTCTATCCAAATGGAACTATGCTCTGCAATAAAAGATGGGGTGGGGGGATGGGGTGTCTGGGTGGCTCAGTTGGTTAAGCACCAGACTCCAGCTCAGGTCATGATCTCATGTCTCGTCTTGTCTTGTCTCATGTGAGTTTGAGCCCTGTGTCAGGCTCTGTGCTGACAGCTTGGAGCCTGGAGCCTGCTTCGGATTCTGTGTCTCCCTCTCTCCCTGTTCCTCCCCTGCTCGCTCGCTCGCTCTCCAAAATAAATAAACATTAAAAAAATTTAAGATGGGGGGCGCCTGGGTGGCTCAGTCGGTTGAGCGTCCGACTTCGGCTCAGGTCATGATCTCACGGTCTGTGAGTTCGAGCCCCGCGTCGGGCTCTGTGCCGACGGCTCAGAGCCTGGAGCCTGCTTCAGATTCTGTGTCTCCCCCTCTCTCTGACCCTCCCCCGTTCATGCTCTGTCTCTCTCTGTCTCAAAAACTAAATAAGTATTAAAAAAAATAAAAATAAAAAAATAAATAAAAAAAAAATTTAAGATGGGATGGTGGGGGGGGGGCCTGACCTTGCTCCTTACTTGTGAGGAAGCCCTCACGTGTGTGTACACAGGCTGGGCTTGATTCTGCCCGCTGGTCACGCCTGCCTCATCCCATCCCTGATCCTGGATCTACGTGGTCTTTCTTTCTCTCTCCATTACCATGAATGGAGTGAGCACCTACGTGTACCAGGCACTGTGGCGGGTGTTTTGTAAACATTAGCCCACGCCTTCCACGAAGTCCCCTTTGTCAGGGAGATGATAATCAACACCACAAAGCCCGTGCCGGTGAGGTTTAAGGCGAATGTAGTTGCATTTGAAAGCGTCTGTCTTCCTGAGGTCTCCGAAGAGCAGAGCAGACTTACACGGTTAATGCAAAGTGCTAACAGCTGAAACCAAACGTCCCAAAGTCTGCAGTAACAAAACCCACAGGAAAGTTATAAAAATATTTTATTTAAATGTTAAGGAAAAAGTACGTGTACTTAAAAATGAGTAAAAGTGCCCATGTTGAACAAATGCTAGAAACCCAGTAAGTTACACATGATAAAATCTAAAGTGGCAGGAACACATAAAATGCTTTCAAGTGGTCCTGTCACCTAACAAAACTATTATAAAAATGAGATCGCAATTGCAGAAGCTGGGTCAAAGGCACATGACATGATCATTCCTACATATACACACCCGGTGATTGCATACGATCAAAGGGCGAACAACTCTGCAATTTGGGGAGGACACCATGTACCTATCACGAAACTCTGCCTAAATGTTTACACCAATACTTTCTCCGACGATTCATCAGATTGACGCCACAAACTAATTATTTCTATTTTGAACAGAACATTTCTATTCTGAGTGTGAAAAACTCAGTAATCACTTGAGTGTGAAGACAGACAAACGAAATCGAATTTATTCTGATGTCAACCAGACTGCAACGTTATAGTTTTTCCGAGGAAACCACTCACTTCCTGGATATGAGGACACGTTGTAGCACTTCTGTTACACCTGCGATGCTGCCAGCTGGCTGGGTGTTGAATCGTTCGCGTTGAAGTGACACGCTCTTACACCTGAAAGAAAGCCAGCATTTATATTGAGTGAGACAGTCTGTCTTTTAAGCAGCTGGATTTCCTGTTTAAAAAGCACAGTTCAGGGGTGCCTGGGTGGCTCAGGTCGTGATCTCGCGGTCTGTGAGCTCGAGCCCCGCGTCGGGCTCTGTGCTGACAGCTCAGGGCCTGGAGCCTGTTTCGGATTCTGTGTCTCCCTCTGTCTCTGACCCTCCCCTGTTCATGCTCTCTCTCTCTCTTTGTCTCAAAAATAAATAAATGTTAAAAAAAAAAATTAAAAAAAAAAAAGCACAGTTCAGTCCACATGCCTGTAACACTCTCTGGCTCTCCATTACCAAAAACAAACTCACGTCAAGGGTCGAAAGCTCCTGAACGTGCGTAAAAACTGAAAACTGAACGGCGGAAAACGTAACAGTATCAGGGCGGAGGGGAAAAGCAGGACACGGGGTCAGATGAGGCTCCGTCCTGCGGCGACACATGCTGACCCGGACAAAGGGAGAGATGCCAGATGGCCCCGGACAGCACAGTGTGCAGAGGGGACTCTCCACCTCTGTGGGGCCACACACCTGCTAGTGACCACCTGCAGCCTGGCAGCGACGGGATTCTGTCCGTGTCTCCCTTATTTGGGTACAGTGACTCCCCTTAGAACTCCAAAGGGAGCACAGGCTGTTGGCTGAAATGCACGCCAATCCTTTACTTAGGATGTTAACATCCACTTCTCTGGGCCTGTTTTTATGCCTGTAAACTAACACATGAAGAAGTTTTCCTCCCAGCTCTGAAGTCAGCTGCGTAAAGAGAGGGCCGATCTTGGCTTTTTCACCGTGTCCCTAAGCACACAGAGGGAGTGCTCTCATGCATATTTGATAAAGGAGTCGTCTGGTACTCGACAGACAGACCCCGCCGTGTAAGGCAGCAGGCCCAGGGAGGCAGTCGTCCGTGGGGAGCAAGAGATTCTGTAAGTAACACGGAAGGAAAAGGCTGATGGGTCGTCCGTCAGATTTTTAAGAGGCAGCCAGAACAGCTCGAGTGGGTAAAAGTGCCCGTTCTTCCTACGTTCCTGCCCCCTAACAGCAACCTAGCCAGTCGTCTGGTGTGTATCAGGTGATAGAAGCCGACCTGGGTAGAAAGTGACCTACTGTGGGAGCTTATCTACACCGTAAGGTGTAAATACGACATCTCTGAAGGGCGGGGTGCCTTACCCCGGAAACAGTCATGGAGAACTAACTTATGCAGAAGGGGAGGGGTCTCGGTCCCTTTCATCTCAGAGTCAAAGGAAGGCACAGTTGGTAAGTGGTCCGTCACTGCTGTGCCACCTGGAAACGGTCACCAAAGACACTGGTCCAGTGAGTTCAGTGTTAGAAAGGCCGTTCCAGAACTCTTACCTCTGGACATCACCCAAGGAGTGAGATCAGCATCACAACGCCCATGAACTGAGTGAACAACACCAGCGGGGTGAGGAAGGACCACACGTGCCACAGGGCAACATTGAAGCTGAAAAGGATAAAACACACGCGGTTGGCCGCTCCAGCTGTAATCTATGCACGTACCCCGAGATCCCACTTTGAACTCCGTTTGGGAAAGTTCTCTTAGCCAGCCACTGTGTGTGTGTGTGTCATGTTTCCCAGAGATGTGGTTTGGCCAGCACTGGAAATATCACAAACTCTTCAGAGAGCACTTGGGACCGAACCACTGAAGGTCCTCCCCCGAGAGCTGGCCCAACAGGAACCCAAGTCTCTCAAAGTCAGTGTCTGTGGCGGCACATCGACGGCAATGGCTACAGCCTGCTTCCACGACCCGCACACTGTCAAACCATCAGAGTAAAGACACAGTTTCAAATAACTTTTTGTTAGAAATAGGATGAAAAACGTAATGACGTATAAGTTGCTATTACATCTCCCTTTCCGAAAAACACTATTCCTGTCACCAAGGTAAGAATAAGACAGCTTCTCAGTGCAAATGATCTTTATGGACTGAATTTGTAAGAGCAGAAGTTAAATAAATAGTTACTGGTTTCACTATGTAATAGTTTTTTAAATGGAACTTTAAACAACGGAACTTTTTAAATCCTACTGTTCTAAAAAAATAACCTTTCCGGGGTGATCTCACTCTTACGATGTAAAACACCACACCCGTGTGCCCACATCACTGAAGGGTCAGTAATAACACAACACAAGGTGATACATGTCAATGCCCTCCAATTTCAATGACAGAAAATCATAAAAAAACATTCAATTAAATTGAATAAGGCACAAAATATATGGTTTTTCCAAAATCCCAATGCAATTGACATAGAAAAAGGAAAAAAGCTAGAGAAATATATACAACATAGAAAGAACAGTTGTTCTCTCTGGCTGCAGGATCATAGGGATTTATTTCCTTTGTGTTTTTCTGTAATTAGCAGATTATTCTTCAGTGAGCAAGTATGCTTTCATACACATTAAAAAAAAATCAGTGTTTTTTCATCGACTACCTATTAAGAAGAGGGATATGGGGCGCCTGGGTGGCGCAGTCGGTCAAGCATCCGACTTCAGCTCAGGTCACGATCTCGCGGTCCATGAGTTCAAGCCCTGCATAGGGCTCTGGGCTGATGGCTCAGAGCCTGGAGCCTGTTTCCGATTCAGTGTCTCCCTCTCTCTCTGCCCCTCCCCCGTTCATGCTCTGACTCTCTCTGTCCCAAAAAAAATAAATAAACGTTGAAAAAAAAAAATTAAAAAAAAAAAAAAGGATATGGGTTGTGGCATTTTCCTGGTAGCAATGCAGTAAGAACAACTGTAAGTCTAGCCACCAAAGGAGAGCAGGTTCAATAAACCCAGGTTATGTCCCTGTGATGATAACTGTGTACAATTAAAAATAATGAGGCACATCCAGGGGCGCCTGGCTGGCTCAGTCGGTAGAGCATGTGACTCTTAATTTCAGGGTCCTAGGTTCAAGCCCCATATTGGGCATGGAACCTACTTAAAAATAAAATAAAATAAAAATAAAGAGGCGCATTTTTTTGTACCAATATGGACAAATTACCAATGATATGGCTCCTTTAAAAAAAAAATGGACAATCACTTTGGGGAAAAAAAAAATTCAGCTGTTTACTGCAATTGGAGATATGTATAACCTGTAAGCCAGCAATTTCACCTCTAGAGACATGTACACACACGCGTGTGCACACATACCTCCACCAGACACGCGTGCACATGCGCATGAGACTCACACACAAGAATGTTAACAGCGTCATTAACAACAGCACCAAACTGGAAACGATCCAAATGCGATCAACAGTAGAAGCGATAAACGCTCGGGTCTAACGGGAGATGGGGTGAGGCAGGATGAGACCGACACACTCAGCAGGAAGAAAAGCGAGGCTTTGCGCACACTCTGTACAGCACTGTCTAAACTACAACCCTGCTCGTGGGACACGTTTTCTTTCACAGTAAAGACAGCAGCTTTCTGTTTGTTCTGAAGTTTCGAGTGTGAGAGTGATAAACAGGTAGCAGACATAGCACTGCATGCAAACAGCCAAATGTAAAAGAATACGGAGTGCCTGAATCCATTTCTATGAAGTTAAAAAAATAGACAAAACAAAAACAGAATATTTAAGAGATGCCAAAGAAAGCAAGTCCCACGTGGGTCGGGACAGTGTCTGTCCATGGGCAGGAAGGAAAGCGCCCTGGCTGGGGCGGGGGGCGGGCAGAAAGGGATTACGGGGCTGGTACGGTTCTCTTTCTTGACCTGGGTGAGGGTTCGCCAGTGCAGTGGTTAACTCATTCAGCTGGACAACTTAAGTTGTTTCCACTTTCCGTATTACATTTCCCAATCAGCACGATGCAATTAATTAATTTTTAAACTTACATCCAAGTTAGCATATAGCGCTATAATGATTTCAGGAGTAGATTCCAGTGATTCATCCCCTACGTATCACACCCAGTGCTCACCCCCACCAGTGTCCTCCCTAATGCTCCTTACTTATCCATTTAGCCCATCCCCCCACCCACAACCCCTCCAGCAACCCTCAGTTTATTCTCTGTATTTAAGAGTCTCTTATACTTGTCCCCCTCGTTTCACAATGCAAATGATTTCAAAAGCAAAACGCAGAATATATACATATAGCACGTCAACATTTGTGTTTTAAATAGCTAAATACGCAGGACACCTGGGCAGCTCCGTCAGTTAAGCGTCCGACTTCGGCTCAGGTCATGATCTCATGGCTCGTGGGTCGGGCTCTGTGCCGACAGCTCAGAGCCTGGAGCCTGCTTCGGATTCTGTGTCTCCCTCTCTCGCTTCCCCTCCCCCACTCACATTCTGTGTCTGAAAAATGAATAAACCTTAGCTAAAAAACCATAGCTAAATACGTAAAGAACGATCCTACTAGAAAGGGCCTCTGAGACTAGCAATGACAGAAGGCCATTTTCCCGTTTCTCCTTTTCTGTAAGCTTCGTGCCCCGTACATCGGCACCTGATCACAACACGCTTTATTCCCCTGGTTGTTGCAAAGTTAACTCACCAGACGCCGGCCGCAATAAAAGCGGCGGTTGTCACGGGTATCAAGGCTGGATACTTGACGTCGTAATCTTCAATCCCGTGGCACCACTCCAGATAGAGGATGCAGTAACACGCAAGCGACAGGCTGATCAGCAGGAGGGTGCCGCCAGCCACGAACCAGCTGCAGAGACCAAATGACACAAGGGTTGCCAGCAGACTTAGCGCCTCAGCACGCGTCTGAAAAAAGGTTTTCACCAACAGCCTAAAAATCGATTGCTACGCAGATCAACTGGGCGAGGGGCCCACAGGGGCCCACAGCTCCCCAACCCCCGCTTTCAGATGGCCTCTGTCGAGCGGGAGATGGGGTGACACAGGACGGGGGCGGCAGGTGCAGCAGGAAGAAAGTGAGGCTCGAACAGCCGTGCACTCCCCACGCTCCACAAACCACCACCCGAAGCACAAGTCCGCTCGTGGTGTCGCATCTCCTTTCACGACACGGCAGCTTTCCGTCTCTTTCTGAAGTTTTGAGCGGGAGAGTAAGAAATGGGTGCCGTGAACTCCTCTAAGGTAAGGAGGCTTTCTGGGAGGACTGAAAATCAGATCGGAAGGTGGTTACCTCAAACTGCCTCTCGGAACAGATTTCTGAGTGAGACACCCATTTCTAGAATATTCCCAGTCTCCCTCCAAGGGGCAGCGTCTTTTTCCTCACTTGGAATTCTACCCCAGCGCTGACTCAGTGTGGGTGAGGCGGCCTCCTTGGCCCCTGCTGGTTGTGGGAGGAGGCTAGATTTGGGGAACGAAGCCCTCTTCCTGTCTCCCAACGTCTCCATTCTCTTTCGCTTCTTCATGGGGAGAAGACGGGCGTTCCTTGCAGACGAGAGAGGGGTCACGAGGGTCTGGAACAGTCACAGTCACACAGGCACTGAGTACACTTCCAGCCATGGCAAGCTTCCAGGTTCCTTTAAGGCACCGAATGACACTGCAGTGCTGGGATCAGTTATGAGAGGCGGGATAGCTCAGTGTATGGAGCGTGGCCTTCCAAATCTGCCTGTCTGGGTTTGAAGCTCAGCCCCAGCACGACTAGCTTTGTGGCTCTGAGCAAGTTACTTAACCTCAGGGTGTTCTAGAAACGTTAGTAGGACCTCACAGAACAGCTGCGAAAACCACATAGCACTCTGAAAAGTGCTGCCCCATAGCGAGCAGCATTATTCCGCTGGTGTGATCGATGGAAAAAATACCGCCACGTTCCTCCTTCAGGGTCTTCAAAGGCCTCTCTTCTGCTACAGTGTCATTCTCAACAGGGGCGATACTGCCCCCAAAGGGAAGAAATCCTCCTCCTCTTTCTGTATGCACAGAGAAACTCCTGCAGGACGTTACGGGGTGGGTAGGAATGAAACGTCTCACGGAGGCTCCTCGGGAGGTGGCAACAAAGGTTGAGGAACACTGTGCCAGAGTCACGGTGACCTCCTTGCTCGGTCAGGATCCTTCCGTCTGTTCCAGGTTTTAACTCCACCTGGAACCCTGGTGCGGCTACTGTGTCCAGATATGGCAGAGGACAGAAGCAGCTGGAAAACCCGCCTGAACCAAAACGCGACTGCAAGTCAGAGGCCCTCCACCCTGGCATCGGAGTCCCTTGGCAAGGTTGCCAAGGGAAGCCATCTTGCCCCCGGTTTCCCAAACTCTGACTCGGTGGGTAACGAGGAAGAGCCTGGTATCTGGGCTTGTGATTTCCGTTGTAGTTTTAACCAGCAACTCGGCTCACAGACATGAACGGGATTTTCTTAAAAACTGATTTCCAACCCATCGTGACGCTTCGCTTTGTTTGTTAACATAGACCTGTGTCTCCTATCTCTGAACATCGTCTTGCAGCCTTGCGTAGATTGGAAGAACCCTAATGCCTCGAGCTTCCGAACTTGGGGGCTAACGGCAGGGCAAGAGATGAGGAATCACTTCAGGTAGATTTGTACGGCGGCAGAAGGCGGCCCGCAACCCCTCTTGGGTACGGCCCTCGTCCGACGGCCGCTCAGACTCCCCACTGCTTACCGAGGCCCTTGGCAAGAATATAGTGCCACTCAAAATCCTCAGCCTTTGAGTATCCGTTCAGGTCTTTTGTCTCTAAGGTGATACTTTTCTGAGGCCAGGCCGGTGACTACTGTGTCCTTCTCCTGCCCCACAGCCCCGGCTCTGCTACGGGACAGCGCGGGCTCCTGGGCGGCCCAGTGACTACGGCAGGTGCCCGCAACACCTCAGAAGTGTAACTGTCCCTTAGCTCAGCATTTCCTTCAACTAGCGAGAATACTTAAAATAAGGAGACAGAGAGGGAAAGCCTCCTCTCTCTCCTAAAACCTCCAAAAGGCCTGCCTCCCGAGGCTGAGCTGACTAGGTGCCCCTTCTAGGTGTCCCACGGCATCCTGGGCATATGCTTACAGCACGCATCACATGACCCATTCACCCGTCTTGGCCTGAAAGGGGCTACTTGGGGGCTGGAAGTGTGCTTCCTTGATCACTGTCACCACAGCCGAACACGTCTCAGGCTCTCGTGTCGTATCTGAATAATGAAGAGGCCGCTGCTCCCGGCAGCGTGCAAAACAACTACTCATCCTCTTTTCCCAGCCCAGGCTCTACACCGACTGAGTTAGGCTGATGACATCAACTGTCAGCTCTTTTACTGACGGAGCTGCAGGAAGGTGGCTTTGGTGACCAGACGTGCCACCAGGTTCCAAGTTGACATGAAAACCTAGAGACCCTCTCGGGTTGGGGCTGCCCCCAGAAATGACGGCACAGAAAGACAGACCAGAATCTGGGCTTCCCACAGACGGCTGGCTCCCAAGAGAAAGAAGGTGCCTTCGACACGTGGCTGGTTCTTCATCCCAAACTCGGTCAGGGAAGGGGCAAGCAGGGTAAAGGGCAGGAAGACAGGAGTGTTTAAGGAAAGTTCTAGCTCCTGGCATTAAGGCAAGAGACGAATAGGCTTTTATGGAACAACTGAAACAAGTCCCATATGCCTCCTTTCTCCTGAATGCATGCTCTGTGCACCTCCCGGCTCTCCCTCCCGCAGTCAGCGTCCGAAGGCCTCTGAGGAGAAACTGTGCGTCACCCCTATGAAGACACAGGATCAAACGGTCCTATCCGCACCTTTCTAGCCCTGCTGGTCCCCGTGCTCGCATCCTGTGCAAACCACCGCTCCCAGTGCCAGCTCAAAGCTCACCAACGTCTCTCCCTCTTGGCTCTGCTGTGTGGGGGCCTCTAGAACACTCTTCAACATTCAGTGAGGACTCAGGTATGATTCACAACCTTGTCCCCCCCATCAGTTCCTGAGATCATACCGAAGAGATCTTAATCCTCATGAATGACGGACGATTTGACATCAGGCCTCAAAGCTCCCGACTCCTCCTCTGAGTGACGTCAACCCTAATTCAATCACTCCCCGTAGTTACTTTGTTAGCTGTAACTATGCTCTGCAAACAAACTCTGAGGCCCTGTTCTCACCCGCCAGGGTCCTCGCTCCCTCCTCCCGGTGCTCCTGCACTGTCTTCAGACAGACTGTCAGAATCTTTCTTCTTCCATTTTTTACACATGGATTAGGTTCTTCTTAAATTCACCACCTTCCCCATCCTCCAACAGACTTGTGCTGAAAGGCATACTGAAGTACTTTCCAGTTTCATCCGTTCGGCTGTATGTGTCCCAAGCACACACTCTCTTGGTCACTAGTGACCTTTGTGTCACTTTGTGTCACCAGTACCTCCAACACCGTGCCTGGCAGGAAGTAAGAGGTTTCTAAGCATTTGAAGAACGCAACTCACAAGACACTATGAGCAATGAGACGAGGGCGCTTAATTACGAAGCAATGAAGTTTTCTCACCTATTGGTGTGGAAGTTTTCTTTAACGGTTTTAAAGAAATCAACATAGTAGGTCACAACAATGGATGCCAGAATCCAGAATCCAGAATGGATGTTAAGTCTTGGAAGAGGTTTCTCCTTTCTCTCAACAGCGGTAGAGACTTCTGCAAATAAGGGAGATTTCAACTTATCAAATTACCATAAATTTATGAGGAAAAAGAACACCTATTTTAAGCCGGATAAAATAATTTCCTAGAGCTTTCCCAAAGCCAGACTCTCTCCAATTAGAGAACAGATTTCTTCTGTACAGCCACCAAAACACGTTTATATTTGCAGGAATAATTAATAGGAACCTGCTATAAAACATATTCAGTATAGTCAACTTGTTCCCCCTAAACAAATTTAAAATCAAATTTACAATATTACCATCTTTTGGAAAGAATGACACCATCTGGTAGTACAGGAATTTTAGTATCATGTTTCAAATATTGCCTAGGAAAGCAATTAGTCTTGTTAATTAAGAAAAATGGAGACAGCAGACATTAGAGCACAAAATGGACTTGTAATTTCCCCCAAATACTTTTGACTACATTTTAATTATTTCAACGTTTATTTATTTTTGGGACAGAGAGAGACAGAGCATGAACGGGGGAGGGGCAGAGAGAGAGGGAGACACAGAATCGGAAACAGGCTCCAGGCTCTGAGCCATCAGCCCAGAGCCCGACGCGGGGCTCGAACTCACGGACCGCGAGATCGTGACCCGGGCTGAAGTCGGACGCCCAACCGACTGCGCCACCCAGGCGCCCCGAGTTATTTCTAACAAATTCCCCAGAGGAGTGACATGCCCCCCCCCCTTAATTCTCGTGAGAACCTTTGGTATACATCTGAGACCCCCGACCTCGAACAAACCATCTGAATCCCCAGGAGCCTTGTTCATAATACAAATTCTGGGAGACAGCCTCAGAATTTGTAAATAAGAATGCCTGGGCATGATGTTTTCTGCGTTTATTTTTCAAAGGGTAGTAAGAGCACGATTTGCAAAATACAGGGCAGAAAAATCTAAAATGAACTCTCTTTCCCCTATCCTTAACCCTAGTTTCTCAACCCCAAAGCAACTACCAACACCAACTTCTATGAATTCTTTCACATTCTATGCATTTACAGGTGAACACACATCACACGTTACCAGGTCTGTACCCAAACGGTGGTACAGCGGACTTTGTCCTGCGCCTCCCTGTGAAAATCATCCCCATAGGGCGAAAAAAGTCTGCCTGCCGTGTCATGTAGGAGTACATCCAAATGTATTTAAGCAGCTCTCTGCTGATGGGCAGTTAGACATTTTCAGTCGCTCGCCACTACGAGGAATGCTGAGGTTAAACACTGTGCACATACGTCCTCGTGTACTGCTACGAGTATGATGCTTTGGTAGATTCTTAGAAATACAACCGGATGGTATTTTTTATTTAAATGGAGAATGCCAAAACAGGTGTCAAACCAGCTCTCCTGGGAATCCTGAAGCACAGCTAGGATGAAGATGCGCGGGGCTACGCGATCACTAGGAATCTCTCAGGGACGCTAAATACCCGACTTGCAAAACGGCTTGGCAAGCCTTGAATAAACGAAACCTGGTCCCTCCTGCCAGGACAGGGCTGCGGAAGGTCCGCGGGGCCGGCCGTTTCCGGGCGCCTCGACTCCGGATACCTCAGCGCAGCCCGGGGCGCGCCCGGGGGGAGCGCCTCACCCGGCCTGGCGTAGCCCTCGCTGTCCAGCGGGGCCTCGGTGTCCCGCGGAAACAGGTACCGCCGCCGGAGCTGCTCCCGGGCCCGCGAAGCGTCCATCTTGGCAACGCCCAGAAGCGCGACGGAAGTGACGTAACGACCGGAACTTCCACCATCGGCTCCCCGGCAGAGGTGCTCGCTGCTGTGAGGGGTGGAGCCTATGCAGTCCGAGGTTTTAATTGGTGAGACTCTAGGTAGGCTTGTCTTCTCGGCCTCAGTGCTCAAGTACGCAAACAGGATTTGAATTTGAAAACACTGAGCCTGGGCCCCGGCGGAAGGTACCCCCAGCGGATTCCGACCTACGGAAGCCCGGGAGGACCAAGCTTCCAGAGGCCGCCGAATGTGTGCCGGGCAGGGGTGCACGGCTGTGCGGTGCCACCTGGTACCCTTTGATCTTGTTGGACGGAGCCTCCCCTGGCTTCCGTGTGTCCAGACTTCTTAGTCTCCGGCTTCTTCCCTGCTCCTCCTCTCCAGGAATCGCCCAGCTAGACTTGAAAGGGTCCAAGGCAGCCGCAGGAGGACCCTGTGCCTGCTGCCGAGCCTCGGGCCTGGCCCCTTCCGCTGGGATGGATGGGCTTGTGCGGGAGATAAACCTCTCCGCGCCTGTCTCCTCTTTGGCACCAAGGGGGTTACACCTGCCCATCCCTGGATCTGTTGTGAGGTTAAGTGGGAAGCACCTGTATGTGGTGCATGTTAACCCCCGTCTTCTGAGTCTGGAGAACTATAACCCCACCAGGAACATGGGAGACAAGTTTGTTCTGGCCCAGAAAACTGCGTTTTCCCCTCACTCTTGCTCACCGACCGAAAAAGACTGTGTCCCTAACTCACGATTTTTCTCCGTCAGTAGTCCCGTGAATTACGGTCCTTCCCCTGCCCTACGTGTCACGTGTTGAGAAGTTTGGGGCTCAATCATTGAAACGTTTACTGAGCACCTACTGTTCGCAGCAAACTGTTAAGACACCATGCTCCACACTGGAGATAAACATGAGTAAGACATGACGTTGCACTGGAGGAGCCCCTGGACCAAAGATGACCCCAGAGACCTACCACCGCCTAGTTTAGGGCTTATAAATATAGAGAAGAGTTTTGTTAATTCAGTCAACATTTTCCGAGCCGCTGTACCTGCTAAAGTGCCGAGGACAGAGGTGAGTTAGAAACTCGGGGAGGAGACGATTTCAATAGGAGGCTATAATAGAAATACTGTGGGGGGGGGGGGAGGGGGGAGGGTTATGGGAGCACCAAATAAAGGGCGGTGTCCTCTGCTGGGGTGTGTGGGGAGCAGGGAGAGTGGCTTGAGGTGAGTTGAAAACAGGAGTGGATAGCCCAGTAAGCCATGGAAGTCAGTTTGGTTTGGTAGGCACTCTGGTATCTTCTATATGTTACGAGGATTTGCAGAAGAGATGTAATAAATATTCAAGAAAAGAATGGCAAGTTTCTGCCGGTTCATTTCTTCAGCCTTTCTAGCAAACTCATAGGAGCAAAGGATGTAACAGCTGGGCAGATCATATGGCCTGTCGACACAATACCTCCTTTTTGTTTGGTTTTGTGTTGCCTTTTCTTTTCAGACTCCTCAAGAACCAGGGTTCATCAGCTCAAAGCCACCTGGGGTCTTTGCCCTCCCCTCTTCTCTCTCTTCAAACAGGGGGTTTGAAGCCTTGTCAACAGGAAGTGAATTCCTCCGTATCACATACAGTCTTCTGTTGATTGTCTCCTTGCAAAAAGGTCAGTGCTGGGTCTCCCTTGTAACTGAATATTCCCCGGAGCATCACAGCTATGCCCGAGTTTCCATATGTAGTACGTTCAGGTCAGATCCGGTTTCCCCTTTGATGGTTTCAGGGCCTTTGTATTTGGATCCGAAATCCTTTTAGCCTTCTTTCTCGGGTATTATTAATGGCACTACTGCTCACCGTGTTGATGATACTCAAAAGCAGGTTGGAAAAGGTCCAGTGTTTAATGACCACATCTTCATTGCTGGGGCCATTTAAGTAAGTTCCTCAATGTGTGTTCTGTGTACACTAATAACAGATAACTGATAACAGAGTGCTACCAACCGAGGGATCTCATTTTCAATGTCAGTTACTTATGGGGGAAAATGAAATTGACTGTGACCCTTCCCAGCTCTCCTTAGTAACATGGTTAAGTCCAGGGTGTTTATAGTCCGTTGAATCCCGGCTCCATCGTGACGGGTCCTTCGGCAAGTTATTGGGTTGTTCTAAGGATCAGTTTCCTCATCTGTGACACAGTAGGTACCAGAACGAAGATACGTGTGTACTGATTGCTTAGCCTGGTGCCTGGCACGGAGTGTGCGTTCAAGCAGGTAGTTAACATACACTACTGCTAATGTGTGCTTCCCAGGCCTTCCAGATCCTGCTCACCTCCTGGTCCATTCGTTATTCCCTTCTCCTTGGGCCCCAGATAGGACTCTTGTTGCCATTTTCATTTTGCTTGTGCTCTCCCGCCTGAGCGTGGGCAACAACCATGCCTTAGCAGCTCCCCAGAGCCTGGCAGGTAGCAGAAATCCCATTACCCAGTTTTCAACTTGACCCTTGATCACAGCTAACTGGTCTTCACTGCAGACACACATCCCTTCCTCTGAGAAGCCCCTCTCCCTCCTTTCTGTATTAGTTCTGCAGAGTTCTCACGAGGCCGACCGTGTCCTAGCGGAGGACACAGGGCCCAAACCAGACCCGTCAGCCCCTGGGACTTAGGCTGGGGCTGCTGGGATGGTAAGCTGTGAGGTCAGTGTGGCCTCTGGGGCTGGCACCATAGAGTCCCATGGAGGAAGTCCACCTAGGGAGGAAGCTCTGAGATGTACGCCAAGCCAAGAGGTAGCATTTTTGATAGCACTGTTCCAACTCCTGACTCCAGCCAAGGCCTGGTTAACCTAGTTAAGAACACGAGCTCTGGGGGTGTCTGGGTGGATCAGTCGATTGAGCATCCTACTCTTGATTTTGGCTCAGGTCATGATCTCACGGTTCATGGGATCGAGCCCCATGTTGGGCTCTGCACTGACAGCATGCAGCCTGCTTGGGAGTGTCTCTCTCTCTCTCTTTCTCTCTCTCTCTCTCTCTCTCTCTCTCTTTCCCTCTCTCTCTCAAAATAAATAAATATAAAAAAAAAGAAAGAGAAAGAAAGAACATGAGCCCTGGAGCCAGCCACCTAGCCCTGGCGTTACTGACTCTGCCATTACTGGCTGCTTCAACCTTGGGCAAGCCACTTCTCTTCTGCCTTAGTTTCCTCACTTGGAAAAGTGAGTTAAGAATGGGTTACAGACAGTATCTACTTCATAGGATTGGGTAAAGATCAAAGTCTTGATAACATGCACAAAGTGCTTAGAACAGTGTCTGGCCCAGAGAGAGCTCTCGATAAGTCCTACCTGTTGTTATTAATCCATTGCTGAGGCATCACAGATTTCTGAGCCAAGAAAACCAAAACTCATATTTATTATTTTTTGCAGTTTATTTATTTTTGAGAGAGAGAGACAGAGTGCGAGCAGCAGAGGGGCAGCGAGAGAGGGAGACACGGAATCCGAAGCAGGCTCCAGGCTCTGAGCTGACAGCACAGAGCCCGATGTGGGGCCCAAACCCACAAACCGTGAGATCATGACATGAGCTGAAGTCGGACACTCAACAGACTGAGCCATCCAGGTGCCCCCAAATCTCATTTTTAGAAAAACGAATGCCGTTTAAGTGGTTTTGTGTTACCTGCAGCCCTGACAGCAGACTGGAACAGCTGTGGTCTCCCATCAGGCCACGTGCTGCCCCACTGGCCCAGTGATGGTGAGCACATCCAGGAATGAGCTCATGCAGAAGGGAAGTCAGTGTGAGTCTGACAGCGCTGTGCCGCCCCAGCAGAAGGGAAGCCCCCGGAGAACCTCTAAGGACACAGGCAGTGTGCTGTGTTGTGGGATAGGGCGTTGGGGAGAACGGCGCAGAAGCCTCCTCAGGGTGCCAGTGTGTCAGGCAGCAGGGAGGTGTTCGTCTCGAACAAAAGATCAGGACAGGGAAAAGGACCATTCCTCAAGCTAGAAAGAAAAGGAAGGGGTGGCGGGGGGCGGGGGCCGGTACTGGCCTAGAGTGGGAAACCTGGGAGGTTGGAATCCTATGAAAGCGTCCCCAAGCGCTCCTGACATTTCCCGATGTGTAGCAGTTTGGGAGGAATGTTTGGATCCGTTGTTCTGTGCAAGAAAAATCTCTTGTATTAATTGCTCACATTTAAATTGAGACTCATTGGTGGGGGGCACCTGGGGGGCTCAGTCGGTTAGGTGTCCGACTTCGGCTCAGGTCGTGATCTCGTGGTTCGTGGGTTCGAGCCCCGCGTCAGGCTCACCACTGACAGCTCAGAGCCTGGAGCCTGTTTCAGATTCTGTGTCTCCTTCTCTCTCTGCCCCTCCCCACTCATTCTCTCTCTGTCTCTCACTCGCTCGCTCTTCTCAACAGTAAATAAATAGAAAAAAAATTTTTTTTTTAAATTGAGACCCACTATCAGGCTTGCTCACCTAGAGAGCTGAGGTGCGTCCTGACTGACTACCTCCCAGATGCCCAGAGTCCTCTAGGCTGTTAACACCAGTCTCGTCATTGACATGATCTGAATCATGCAGTGCCTAGAATTGGCCTGTTAATGGTGTGCATGTAATCTAATAAAACAAACTCATTTTTTTTTCCTTTTAAGGAAGCCCCATATATTTTTTTAAATGTTTTATTTATTTTTGAGAGAGAGAGAGAGAGCATGCAAGTGGGGCAGGGGCAGAGAAGGAGGGGGACAGAGGATCTGAAGTGGGATCCACGCTGACAGTGGTGAGCCTGATGTGGGGCTTGAACTCATGAACCGTGAGATCATGACCTGAGCTGAAGCCAGGCGCTCAACTGACTAAGCCACCCAGGCGTTCCCCCCCATATTTTTAATACAATAGTTTGTCTCATATTATCATGCATTTCCAGTAAGTAAAGAAACTTAGATGCCCTAATTTATTTATCAAGAAGCCATTTCTTGAAAGCTTAGTTAGAAGAAGGGATACAGGATAAATATACTCAGAAATCCAGTAACCACAAAGTACATAAATTGCATAAAACCATGAA